TCTTCGGTCATCCACCACAGTTGTTTTCCATGGTCTTCCATTAAAAGGGGTCTTTTGGTGTTGCTGAGCTCACCGGTGCGTTCCTTCTTTTTAAGAATGTTCCAAACAGTTGTTTTGGCCACGCCTAATATTTTTGCTATCTCTCTGATGGGGGTTTGTTTTGTTTTTTCAGCCTAATGATGGCTTCACTGATAGTGACAGCTCTTTGGATCTCATCTTGAGAGTTGACAGCAACAGATTCCAAATGCAAATAGCACACTTGAAATGAACTCTGGACCTTTTATCTGCTCATTGTAATTGGGATAATGAGGGAATAATACACACCTGGCCATGGAACAGCTGAGAAGCCAATTGTCCCATTACTTTTGGTCCCTTAACAAGTGGGAGGCACATATGCAAACTGTTGTAATTCCTACACCGTTCACCGGATTTGGATGTAAATACCCTCAAATTAAAGCTGACAATCTGCAGTTAAAGCACATCTTGTTCGTTTCATTTCAAATCCATTGTGGTGTGTGTATAGAGCCAAAAATGTTAGAATGTGTCGATGTCCCAATATTTATGGACCTGACTGTACTTTTATTACCTGGCCACTAAGAATGTTGTTTTTCAACTACGTTTTAACAGAACAAGCTGTCCGACAAAAATGGCAGTTAGAGGGTGGAATCTTCTGCAATCAAAGAATCCTACCTGCCAGCTCACTGTCTTCTTGGAACTGTATCAGTATGGATGTCACTCCACTTCCCAAACTTTTCCAGTTAAGCTCGTATATTTCCCTTCCCCAACTTTTACCTGCGGGTCACTAACACAACTGTCATTTCCTCCAACCATGCAAGGCTACTGGATGTAATCCTGGATTGTGACTTCTGATTTCAGCACCAAATCCAATCACTGTCCAAATCTTGCCTCCTTCACATACGTACTAAAATACGTCCCTTCCTAACCACCACCAAACTGCTTGTTATCTCCGGCCTCAACTATTCATACATTCTGCTAATCCAATGTATATCATTCTAAATACAACATACAAAGCCATCCTCAACTCAACCCGGATTACATCACCAGCCTTGTATCAAAATATCACCCAAACCCTCCTCTCCCCTCCTCCAAAGATCTTCTGCTCTTTAGCTCCCTCCTCACCTTCTGGCATGTTCACTTCCAGGACTACTCCAGAGCTTTCCCCATCCTCAGGAACTCCCTAGCCCAATCTGTCTGACTATCTCCTACTCTATCTTCTTTTAGGTGATCCCTGAAAACTCATCTCTGTGGAAGGTCTAGCCCACCTCTATTTAACAATTGAACCTTGATGCTTTCCATTGGCTCACCCCTCAGTTATTGCTTCTTATATCACTTGCCTCATCCCTATTAGATTGTAAGCTCTACAAGCAAGGCTCTCCTAACGCTCCTGTACTGAATTGTATTTTAACTGTACTGTCTCCCTTTACATTGCAAATTGCTGTGAAGGAGAATGAAGAGAAGAAGAATGAAAAAGAAGAAGAAGAAAAGAACAAATAAGAAAGAGGACAAAGAAGAAAAAGAAGAAGAAGGAAGGAAGAAGAAAGAATATAACAAGGAAGGAGGAGGAAAGAGGACAAAGGAGAAAAATAAGGAGAAAAAAGGAAGAAGGAAGAAGAAGGGGAACAAAGAAGACAAAGGAAGAAGGAGAAGGAAGAAGAAGCAGGAGGAAGAAGAAGGATGAAGGAGGAGGAAGGAGAAGAGAAACGAAGAGGAAGGAAGAAGTACAAAGAAGAAAAGGAAGAAGGAAGAAGAAGGAGGAGAAGAAAAGAACAAATAAAAAGAAAAAGAACAAAGAAGAAAAATGAGTAAAGGAGAAGAAGGAGGAAGAAAGGAAGGAAGGAAGAGGGAAGAAGAAGAAGGAAGAAGAGAAAAAGAACAAATAAAAAGAAAGAAAAAGGACAGAAAGTAAGGAGAAATAAGAAGAAGGAAGAAAGAGGAAGGAGGAGGAGGAAGAAGAAGGAAGGAAGAAGAGGGAAGAAGAAGAAAGAGGAATGAAGGAAAGAAGAAGAAGAAAAAGAACAAATAAGAAGAAAAAGGACAAAAGATGAAAAAGAAGGGAGGAAGAAGAAGAAGAAGTGGAAGAGGAAGAAGAAGGAAGAAGAAGTAAAAGGAGGAAGAAAGAGGAAGAAGAAAGAGGAAGGAAGAGGGAGAAAGAAAGAGAAGAAGGAGAACGAAAAAAGAAGAAAAAATTAAGAACAAAAAAAGAAAAAAAGGAGGACAAAGAAGAATAAAGATGAAAAGAAGGAAAAGAAGAAGAGAAGAAGGAGAACATCAAGGAGATACTTTTGAAAGACCCTTTCCAGCTTCAAGAAGTCAACGAATTCTTGATCGTAGGTCTTCTGAGAGCTCTTTGCTGCGAGGCATGGTTCACATCAGGAAGTGCTTCTTTGAAACCAGTAAACCCAAAACAGGTGTGTGTTTGTTAAGGGCAGGAGAGCTGTCAGCAACACATCCAATATCATCACACTGATTGGAGTCAAGGTTGAGTCAAGAAGCTCTGGGAGAAGTCATTTGGGAAGGAGCTCCCCTGTGAGCTAACTCTTGTGAGCTAAGCTGCCCCCTCCAGCTCTGTGTAAAAAACATGTTAGTATATGGCTATAGGGCTGTCACATACTTTTTCCTCCCTGCCTGTGAATGTTTACTCCTGTTATGTGCAATTAAACCATGGCAACATCTAATGTTTGTGTAGTATTATGTTCAGCAGACTTGTGTTCTTCTATTGCTGTGACTTAGATGACGTTCAGAGCACCTTTTATGCCCAATTCATGCAAAACTCCACGTAATCCCAAGGGGTTCACATACTGTTTCTGAAGGCAACTGTATCTGGCTCCAGGCTGTCAGTAGCAGATCCTTTAGGTCCTGTAAGTTGTGAGGTGGGGCCTCCATGGATTGGACTTGTTTTTCCAGCACATCCCACAAATACTCGATTGGACTGAGATCTGGAGAATTAGGAGGCCAACAGCTAAAACAAATTTTTGTGTTCCTCAAACCATTCTTGATCCATTTTTGCAGTGTGGAAGGATGCATTATTCTGCTGAAAGAGGCCGCTGCCATCAGGCAGTACCGTTTCCATGAAGGGGTGGACTTGGTCACCAACAATGTTTCTGTAGGTGGTCCGGGTCAAGTAACATCCACAGGAATGGCAGGACCCGAGGTTTCCCAGCAGAACATTGCCCAAAGCATCACACTGCCTCGGCTGGCTTGGCTACGTCCTATAATGCATCTTGGTGCCATGTCTTCCCCAGGTAAGTGACGCACACCCCCCCGACCATCCACGTGATGTAGAAGAAAACGTGATCCCTCAGACCAGGCCACCTTCTTCCATTGCCTCGTGGTCCAGCTCTGATGCCCATGTGGCCATTGTAGGCTCTTTTAGCTGTGGACACGGGTCAGCATGGGCACCCTGACCGTTCTGTGACTACACAGCCCCATACACAAGAAACTGCAATGTTCATTTGTTCTGTTTCCTCCCATAGGGATTACTTGGGTCCATCTTTTCTCCTCACAAGAAGGTGGAAGAAAAAGAACCAAAGCAGAAGTCACACGTGTCATCAGGTTCTGTTCTGACCAGACTCAGCAGGGCCCGGGGGGCCAATCTATTGATCCCCTGCAGAGAGGGAACAGAGGTTCCTTATATGTCCATCTCCTAGCAGCTCCGTATCCTCTGCACTCCTCTTCTGTTCAGCAAGTGGTCCACATGTGGCCCTAAAGTACCCGTCTATAACCTGCAGCTTTCAGTAGTGCTGCCACCTGCCCTAGGAAATGCTGCCTGCATGTCCCAACTGCACCCCACCTCTGCATTCTCCTTTGTATTCCTGCAGTCTCTGGTATTCTCCTGTACCACCTCTGATGTATGTAACATTCTTCTGTAGCATGTCTGCAGTCTCTGACCGTCTCCTGTATCATGTCTGCAGTCTTTGACCGTCTCCTGTATCATGTCTGCAGTCTTTGACCGTCTCCTGTATCATGTCTGCAGTCTCTGACCGTCTCCTGTATCATGTCTGCAGTCTCTGACCATCTCCTGTAGCATGTCTGCAATCCCTGACCGTCTCCTGTATCATGTCTGCAGTCTCTGACCGTCGCCTGTATCATGTCTGCAGTCTCTGACCGTCTCCTGTATCATGTCTGAAGTCTCTGACCGTCTCCTGTATCATGTCTGCAATCCCTGACCGTCTCCTGTATCATGTCTGCAGTCTCTGACCGTCTCCTGTATCACGTCTGCAGTCTCTGACCGTCTCCTGTATCATGTCTGCAGTCTCTGACCATCTCCTGTATCACGTCTGCAGTCTCTGACTGTCTCCTGTAGCATGTCTGCAGTCTCCTGTAGCATGTCTGCAGTCTCGAACCGTCTCCTGTAGCATGTCTGCAGTCTCGAACCGTCTCCTGTAGCATGTCTGCAGTCTCGGGCCATCTCCTGTAGCTGTAGCATGTCTGCAGTCTGACCGTCTCCTGTAGCATGTCTGCAGTCTCTGACATTCTCAAGTAGCATGTCTGCAGTCTCTGACATTCTCCTGTATCATGTCTGCAGTCTCTGACATTCTCCTGTATCATGTCTGCAGTCTCTGACATTCTCCAGTAGCATGTCTGCAGTCTCTGACATTCTCCTGTAGCATGTCTGCAGTCTCTGACATTTTCCTGTAGCATGTCTGCAGCCTCTGACCGTCTCCTGTAGCATGTCTTCAGTCTCGGAACGTCTCCTGTAACACATCTGCAGTCTCTGACCGTCTCCTATCACGTCTGCAGTCTCTGACCATCTCCTGTAGCAGGTCTGCAGTCTCTGACTGTCTGCTGTATCACGTCTGCAGTCTTTGACCGTCTACTGTAGCACATCTGCAGTTTCTGACCATCTCCTGTAGCAGGTCTGCAGTCTCTGACTGTCTCCTGTATCATGTCTGCAGTCTCCGACCGTCTCCTGTAACACATCTGCAGTCTCTGACCATCTCCTGTATCACGTCTGCAGTCTCTGACCGTCTCCTGTAGCAGGTCTGCAGTCTCTGACTGTCTGCTGTAGCATGTCTGCAGTCCCTGACCGTCTCCTGTAGCCTGTCTGCAGTCTCTGACCATCTCCTGTAGCATGTCTGCAGTCTCGGACAGTCTCCTTTAGCATGTCTGCAGTCTCTGACCATCTCCTGTAGCATGTCTGCAGTCTCTGACCATCTCCTGTAGCATGTCTGCAGTCTCGGACCGTCTCCTGTAGCATGTCTGCAGTCTCGGACCGTCTCCTGTAGCATGTCTGCAGTCTCGGACTGTCTCCTGTAGCATGTCTGCAGCCTCTGACATTCTCCTGTAGCACATCTGCAGTCTCTGACCTTTTGTAGAAATCATATCACTTTACCTTTTCCTGTTTATGTTCCCCATGGTGTTGTGTTTCTTTTGATGCCGCTGTCTAAGTGCATTATGAGCACGGCTTTCATATCCATACGGCTATACATACCATTGAGCAACATATTTATATTACATTTTATATAGTTGATAATACATTTCATACCAATGCATTGAACATCTTCATTGCAAAAACAACAACAAAAAAGAGAAATTCGAGGCGAGCGCTGCAGTATCTCTCCTGTCCTTCCCTCCAGTCTCCTCCTGCTACTAGAACCACAAGGCAGAGCAACCAGCAGAATTCTACACGTGCATGTGCTGCCATCTAGTGGTCAAATATAAATTTGCAGTTGCAAGGAGGATTACCAAGAATACTTATTAGAATGATTTATAATAACATCATCAATACTTCTGTCACTAAAAGTCATTATTAGAAATCCTTTCTTAGCTATGAAGTGAGAAATGTGAATCCTGACTGCCTCCTGCTGAGTTACCTCCTAATTATTGGTCTGCTAGTGCTGAGTAATTATGGGAAGTCAGATACATTTTAACAAGTAGAATTAATAATTTATTTTTATTCATTTTAATACAAAAATGAAAGTGTTACTGAACCCCGGACCCTGCATTCACTATATCCGATCTCTCCGACCCTGCATTCACTATATCCGCTCTCCCCGGACCCTGCATTCACTATATCCGCTCTCCCCGGACCCTGCATTCACTATATCCGCTCTCCCCGGACCCTGCATTCACTATATCCGCTCTCCCCGGACCCTGCATTCACTATATCCGCTCTCCCCGGACCCTGCATTCACTATATCTGGTCTCCCTGACCCTGCATTCACTATATCTGGTCTCCCCGGACCCTGCATTCACTATATCCGCTCTCCCCGGACCCGGCATTCACTATATCCGCTCTCCCCGGACCCGGCATTCACTATATCCGCTCTCCCCGGACCCCGCATTCACTATATCTGGTCTCCCCGGACCCTGCATTCACTATATCCGGTCTCCCCAGTCCCGGCATTCACTATATCCGCTCTCCCCGGACCCCGCATTCACTATATCCGCACTCCCCAGACCCTGCATTCACTATATCCGCTCTCCCCGGACCCTGCATTCACTATATCCGCACTCCCCAGACCCTGCATTCACTATATCCGGTCTCCCCAGACCCGGCATTCACTATATCTGCTCTCCCCGAACCCCACATTCCCAATATCTGGTCTCCCCGGACCCTGCATTCACTATATCCGGACTCCCTGGACCCCGCATTCACTATATCCACTCTCCCCGGACCCTGCATTCACTATATCCGGCTCTCCCTGGACCCGCATTCACTATATCCGGTCTCCCTGGACCCCGCATTCACTATATCCGGTCTCCCGGACCCCGCATTCACTATATCCGGTCTCCCTGGACCCTGCATTCACTATATCCGGTCTCCCCGGACCCTGCATTCACTATATCCGGTCTCCCCAGACCCTGGTTCACTATATTCTCCCCACCCTGCATTCACTATATCTGCTCTCCCCGAACCCTGCATTCCCAATATCTGGTCTCCCCGGACCCTGCATTCACTATATCCGGTCTCCTCGGACCCGCATTCACTATATCGGCTCTCCCTGGACCCCGCATTCACTATATCCACTCTCCCCGGACCCTGCATTCACTATATCCGGTCTCCCTGGACCCCGCATTCACTATATCCACTCTCCTGGACCCCGCACTGCTTCACTATATCCGGTCTCCCCAGACCCTGCGTTCACTATATCCGCTCTCCCCGGACCCTGCATTCACTATATCTGCTCTCCCTGGACCCTGCATTCACTATATCCGCTCTCCCCAGAGAGGGTTCCACATACAACAGGGTCCCCATCAGAGTCCCCCCTTACATCAGGATTCCCATCAGAGTTCCTCATACATCAGGGTCCCCATCAGAGTCCTCCTTAATCAGGGTCCTTGACAGAGTCCCCCGTTACATCAGGATTCTCATCAGAGTTCCCCATACATCAAGGTCCCTGTCAGTCCCCTTTACATCAGGGTCCCCATCAGAGTCCCCCCTTATATCAGGATTCCCATCAGAGTTCCCCATACATCAGGGTCCCTATCAGTGTCCTCCCTTACATCAGGATTTTCATCAGAGTCCCCCTTACATTAGGGGCCCCATCAGAGTGCCCTCTTACATCAGGGGTTATCATCAGAGTCCCCCCTTATAGTTCCCCTATAGTTCCCCTTATAGTTCCCCTTATAGTGACAGTTCCCGTCAGAGTTCCCCATACATCAGAAATCTCATCAGAGTTCCCCCATACATCAGGGTCCCCATAAGAGTCCCCCCTTAGATCAAATTCTCATCAGAGTTCCCCCTTACATCAGGGTGCCCATCAGAGTCCCCCCTTACATCAGGATTCTCATCAGAGTCCCCCTTACATTAGGGGCCCCATCAGAGTGCCCTCTTGCATCAAGATCCCTAACATAGTTCCCTATACATCAGGGTCTCCATCAGAGTCCCCCCTTACATCAGGGTTATCGCCAACATCTCCCCTTACATCAGGGTCCCCCATCAGAGTCCCCCCTTACATCAGGGTCACTATCAGAGTCCCCCCTTACATCAGGGTTATCACCACATCCCCCCTTACATCAGGGTCCCCATCAGAGTTTTCCCCTTACATCAGAATCCTTACCAGAGTTCCCCCATACATCATGGCCGCCATCAGAAGCAGAAACAAACTGATCTGAATCCTCAGCCTATGCACTGAGTCTGAGGATACACGGCTGACCCGAGCTGAGGGCCAGATGTGGCCCCCGGGCCGTAGTTTGACTATGCACGGCCTGAACCTTTAACTATTACCAAATACTTCCATTAGGATATATTCTTCAATAGCCACAAAGGATATAAATCCACTTTGTGTATAACAAAATCACTCCTAAACCCAGGTATTACCTTGTAAAAGTAGCAGTGACATCATCACTGTGCTGTATAGAGCCTCTGCAGAGAGCGGAGCTGTGGGAGGGGCCCATCAGGCTCCACCCACTACAGGCTGCCTGAAGAAAACTACAGGAGGGGGCGGAGACGAGACCAGTCACCCAGCACAAGCAGAGAGGGCAGCAGTGAGCGGTACTTACTACAGGGAGGAAACATTTCACACGGATTACTGACTGCACAAATCACCATATCTGAGGGGACTGTAAATCACTGTACTACGGAGGTAGCCCCCGTCTTCCAGATTCTGCTGAGGTTCTAGGCGAGCGGCTGCCCCTCTGCAAACTGACTCTTTCGGCACCACCACCCTTCATAGGACCCTTAATGCAGCTTTTCCTGATTGAGGTAGTTTAAGAAAATAGCGCATTATGGCCACTAGATGGAGCTGACGATCATAGGAAATTATGACACACATTACGGCGATTATTTGTGAATGTCTCAAGCAAATTTTTTATAAATAGACCCCGTAGGCATGTCTTGGAAATGTGGCGGGGGGGGGGGAACATAAGCACACTGAGAACATGCAAACTCCATGTAGGCAGTGTCCTGGTTGGGATTCAAACTGAGCAACCCAGTGGTGCCAGGCAAGAGTACTAACCACTAAGAAAGGAGATCCCCACCCAGGGGCGGACTGACAGCTCATGGGGCCCCCGGGCAATAGGGGATCATGGCGCCCCTGTGTCCTTGCCCAAACTCAAAAAAGCCTATGAAAAAGGTACCAGGGGCATCTCATGGGGCCCCCTACTGACCCCGGGCCCTTGGTTAGAGTTCAGCTCTAAAGCTTAACACAAAGGAAACAGCGGAATAGACAGATATATTTGGTAGCCTTTCCTGCTGTATGATAGCCATATGAATATTTCCTATGACCATCAGCTCCATCTAGTGGTCATAATGCAGTATTTTTTTTTTTATCATGGTATTTCAGAAAGATACTGTATTATGACCACTAGATGGAGCTGGTGATTGTAGGAAATAATTATAAATTACAAATACAGAGATCATTCATAGCCAGGGGCAGACTGACAACTCATGGGGCCCCCGGGCAATAGGGGATCATGGGGCCCCTGTGTCCTTGCCCAAACTAAAAAAAGCCTATGAAAAAGGTACCAGGGGCATCTCATGGGGCCCCCTACTGACCCGCGCCCTCGGGCAGTGCCTGAGTTTCCAAATGGTCAGTCCGCCCCTGTCCCCACCCACCCTTGGCACCCCCTTACCTGCGGGGGGGGGGGGGGGGGCAGGACAGTCTACCTGATCACATGACCAGTGTGATTGGCTGCCACGTGATCGGGAGCTCCCAGTGACACCACTGTATCCTTTAGAGCAGAATTAAACCTGTAAATACTTACCTCCCCTTCAGTGATCAAATGCCGATGCCAACATCTTCCTTCCCAGCTTCTTCCAGGTTCTGAGCCTTCGGCCATCCTGATTGGCTGGGCCAGGATGATTTCATTCTCACAAACGCACAAGTTCATTCATCCCAGTACCAAGATGTGACCATGTGCAGCTCAGTGTACATTGCAGCTCCTTGGGGGGGGGGGGGGGGTGGAGGGACGAAATCTTTACTACGGAAGAGAAATAGAAGTCTGTGTATAAAAAACTGCCGTGCGGGCCATAGACGGGTCAAAAACCGGCCATTTAAAAAAAAAAAACGAAAAATTGGTTGTTCAATAGGCCGACGTTACCACCAACGGTAAAAAAAATAGTCTGATTTTCGCCCGTCTACGGCCGGCATTTAATTACTTCTGTCCCTGCAGAGAGCTCCGCTATTATATTTGACATGAAAAAGTCTTGTGGTTGCAACATTGTATCTATTTGTATCCATTTCGGATACAGATGTTTTATTCGGATACAAATGGATACATTGTTGCAACCGCAAGACTTTTCATGTCAAATATAATAGCGGACTGGAATTCCTCTTCTTTTTCTTCTTCTTGCAGGTCACGGCTCATGCGCAGATTTTTTATCGGTAAAACGATCGCACGATTTGCCCATCATTGCCAGGAAAATCGGGCGATCGCTAAAATCGAACAATGTTTTTCCAACTTTACCGATAAAAAAAATGTGCCAAAACCCTGAAAATCGGTCGACCAATTAACCCATTAACGGTGCGAAAATTGGGCAATTTTTTTTCCGTCTATGGCCTGCATAAGCGTTTTCCGGTGCATTTTGCAGAAACGCACAGCAGTCCATTTAACATGATTTCCTATGGGACACATTCACATCTCCGCATTTTCACCTGGTGCGTTTTTTTGGAAAGGGTCAGTGACTTTTCTGAATGCAAAAGGTAGCATTTTTGGTTCTATAGACTTCGATGGAGACGCTGCAGAAAAGCATGTAGTGCGTTTTTGATGCATTTTTGATGCGCATTTGACGCATTTTGCGTTTTAATCTGCCCAGCATCAAGGTGGGGGAAAAAAGCAAAACGCATCAATCACGTGGCAAAAACACATGCAAAAACGCACTGCAGAAACGGATCAAACGCAAACTGAATAGGTGTGAACCGAGCCTTCAGCATTCGCACAGACGCTATGAACAGGGGCGGACTGACCATTTGGAAACTCGGGCACTGCCAAGGGCCTGGGGTCAGTAGGGGGCCCTGTGAGATGCCCCTGGCACCTTTTCCATAGGCTTTTTTGAGTTTGGGCAAGGACACAGGGGCCCCATGATCCCCTGTTGCCGGGGGCCCCATGAGTTGTCAGTCCGCCCCTGACTATGAATGATCTCTGTATTGTTTGTAATATATAATTATTTCCTACAATCGTCAGCTCCATCTAGTGGTCATAATACGGTATCTTTCTGAAATAACATGATAACAAAAAATACTGCATTATGGCCACTAGATGGAGCTGAGGGTCATAGGAAATATTCATATGGCTATCATACAGCAGGAAAGGCTACCAGATATATCTGTCTATTCCGCTGTTTCCTTTGTGTTAAGCTTTAAAGCTGAACTCTAACCAGAAACTATTTATTGGGACATTTTGTCTCGGTTCACATCTGTACGGGTGGTGCCGCTGCGGGACCCGCACATATACCTGCAGCAGCCGCACCACCCACACAGAGGAATGGGGGACCCGCACATATACCTGCAGCCGCACCACCCACACAGAGGAATGCGGGACCCGCACAAATACCTGCAGCCGCACCACCCACACAGAGGAATGGGGGACCCGCACATATACCTGCAGCCGCACCACCTACACAGGGGAATGGGGGACCCGCACAAATACCTGCAGCTGCACCTCCCACACAGAGGAATGGGGGACCCGCACATATACCTGCAGCAGACGCACCACCCACACAGAGGAATGGGGGACTCGCACAAATACCTGCAGCCGCACTACCCACACAGAGGAATGGGGAACCCCCACAAACACCTGCAGCCACACCACCCACACAGAGGAATGGGGGACTCGCACAAATACCTGCAGCCGCACTACCCACACAGAGGAATGGGGAACCCCCACAAACACCTGCAGCCGCACCACCCACACAGAGGAATGGGGGACTCGCACAAATACCTGCAGCCGCACTACCCACACAGAGGAATGGGGAACCCCCACAAACACCTGCAGCCACACCACCCACACAGAGGAATGGGGGACCCGCACAAATACCTGCAGCCGCACCACCCACACAGAGGAATGGGGAACCCCCACAAATACCTACAGCCACACCACCCACATGGGAATGGGGACCCGCACAAATACCTGCAGAAGCTGCACCACCCACACAGAGGAATGGGAGACCCGCACATATACCTGCAGCAGCCGCACCACCCACACAGAGGAATGGGGGACCCACACAAATACCTGCAGCCGCACCACCCACACAGAGGAATGGGGGACCACACAAATACCTGCAGCCGCACCACCCACACAGAGGAATGGGGGACCCACACAAATACCTGCAGCCGCACCACCCACACAGAGGAATGGGGGACCCGCAGAAATACCTGCAGTTGCACCACCCACACAGAGGAATGGGGGACCCACACAAATACCTGCAGCTGCACCACCCACACAGAGGAATGGGGGACCCACACAAATACCTGCAGCTCACCACCCACACAGAGGAATGGGGGACCCACACAAATACCTGCAGCCTCACCACCCACACAGAGGAATGGGGGACCCGCACAAATACCTGCAGCTGCACAACCCACACAGAGGAATGGGAGACCCGCACATATACCTGCAGCAGCCGCACCACCCACACGGGAATGGGAGACCCACACAAATACCTGCAGCCTCACCACCCACACAGAGGAATGGGGGACCCGCAGAAATACCTGCAGTTGCACCACCCACACAGAGGAATGCGGGACCCACACAAATACCTGCAGCTGCACCACCCACACAGAGGAATTCAGGACCCACACATATACCTGCAGCCGCACCACCCACACAGAGGAATGGGGGACCCACACAAATACCGGCAGCCGCAACCGCACTACTCACACAGAGGAATGGGGGACCCCCACAAATACCTGCAGCCTCACCACCCACACAGAGGTATGTGGGACCCGCACAAATACCTGCAGCAGCCGCACCACCCACACAGAGGAATGGGGACCCGCACAATACCTGCAGCAGCACCACCCACACAGAGGAATGCGGGACCCGCACAAATACCTGCAGCAGCACCACCCACACAGAGGAATGCGGGACCCGCACAAATACCTGCAGCAGCACCACCCGCACTCAAAAAATGCCTTTCATTCATAAAAAGAACTTTTATTGAGTTTGTGTTGTCTTTACATTTGCAACTTTAATATTTTAATTTAAAAAGAATCCCCCAGTGAAAGCGTCATGTACATTTGCTTTGACCACTTTAGGGGTTGATTTATCAAGACTTCACCCAGTGGATGTGCATGTACATTCGTTCTGTGCGAATGGGGCAAAAAAAAGCAAATGTGCGCCTTTCATTCGCAAATCATTTATATAAAATGGAAAATACCACATTTGGCCACTAGATGGAGCTGAGTATTAAAGGAAACTCCTCTGTTCCTTAGAGCCATCTAGTGGCTACAATGTCATATTTTTAAATGAATGATTTACATTCGAACAGCATGGAACATAGCTGATTTACATTCGTTTCTAGCCCCATGTGCACAGGACAAATGTACAGGAACTTTCACTGGTCAACTGCCTAAGCGAGTTCTTTATAGATCAACGCCTTAGTCTTCATTCTACTTTTTCTGTTGTTTACTTTCCCAATACGGGCGATGTAATTACCCCACACATTCCATTGAACATGCTCAGTGAAATAAACCGTTTTCCTATTTTAAGGCAGATCCAAGCTCTCTCCATTGACCCCCATCTTTGTATCGCTAATAAAATGTGGCTAATGTATCCTCTGTGCTCCTGATCCAGAGAACGACACACTCCTCCTCCTCCTCCTCATCCTCCTCCTCCCTCACATCCTTCCAGGCGTCTCTCCCAAGCTCTGTATCCCCACTAAGAGCAGACAAGCTGGATGTCAGATTTAGAATTAAATACATGATTCTGACAGGCGTATTTGTCGCTGTGTATCATGAGGGAAGGGTTGAAGGGGAAGCGTTCTTGAAAGTCTGCTTTGATGTATTCGCTGAGGAAAGTGAAAGGAGTTTAAAAACTGCTTACTGGCTTATAGAAACTTTTTTTCTCTAAAGTTCTCCTAGAAGGCAGAAATGGGGTTGATTTATAAAGCATTTGCATAGTCATTCACCTAAAGAAATAGCATGTGCACTCGATTACTGAAAATGGGGCAAAAAAATAATTATAAATGGGCTATATTCTGTGCTGTTTAAATGTAAATCATTGATTTAAACTATTAAATACCACAGGTGGCCACTAGGTGGAGATAAGTCTTAGAGTAGCGTCCTATATACCTAGCTTCATGTGGTATAGAACACGGATGGTAGCAGATAGTTCACTCAGCACCTCCTCCATTGATGAAATATACTATACTGCCAAAAGTATTGGGCCCGCCCTCCATATCATGTGATTCAGGTGTTCCAATCCCCTCCATGGACACAGGTGTATACAATCAAGCCCCTAGGCATGCAGACGGCTTCTACAAACATTGGTGAAAGAATGGGTCGCTCTCAGGAGCTCAGTGACTCCAAGCGTGGTCCCGTGATAGGTGGCCACCTGTGCAGTAAGTCCATCCGTGACATTTCCTGGCTACTAAATATTCCACGCTCAACTGTTAGTGGGATTATAACAAAGTGGAAGCCACTGGGAACAACAGCCACTCAGCCACCAAGTGGTAGGCCACGTCACATGACAGAGCAGGGTCAACGCATGCTGAAGCGCACAGTGTGCAGAAGTCGCCAACTGTCTGCAGAGTCAATAGCTAAAGACCTCCAAACTTGGTGTGGCCTTCAGATGAGCCCAACAACAGTGTGTAGAGAGCTTCATGGAATGGGTTTCCATGGCCGAGCAGCTGCATCCAAGCCTTCCATCACCAAGTGCAATGCAAAGCTTCGGATGCCGTGGTGTAAAGCACGCCGCCACTGGACTCTAGAGCAGTGGAGATGTGTTCTCTGGAGTTACCAATCACGCTTCTCTGTCTGGCAATCCGATAGATGTGTCTGGGTTTGGGGGTTGCCAGGAGAACGGTACTTGCCTGACTGTAGTGTGCCAAGTGTAAAGTTTGGTGGAGGGGGATTATGGTGTGGGGGTTTTTTTCGGGGGTTGGGCTTGGCCCCTTAGTTTCACTGACGGGAACTCTTAAGGCGTCAGCATACCAAGACATTTTGGACAATTTCATGCTCCCAACTTTGTGGGAAGAGTTTGGGGATGGCCCCTTCCTGTTCCCACATGACTGCACACCAGCGCACAAAGCAAGGTCCATAAAGACATGGAGGAGCCAGTTTGGGGTGGAGGAACTTGACTGGCCTGCACAGAGTCCTGACCTCAACCCCATAGAACACCTTTGGGATGAATTAGAGTGGAGACTGTCATCCAGGCCTCCTCCCCCGACATCAGTGCCTGACCTGACAAATGTGCTTCTGGAAGAATGGTCCAACCTTCCCATAGACACCCTCCTAAACCTTGTGGACGGCCTTCCCAGAAGAGTTGAAGCTGTTATAGCTGCAAAGGGTGGGGCCAACTCAATATTGAACCCTACGGACTAAGACTGGGAGGCCATTAAAGGTCATGTGTGTGGAAAGGCCGGCTGACCAATACTTTTGGCAATACAGTGTACATGTTCGTTATTGTTAGAGCTGCACAGGTATGAATGTAATACAGGTCAGTGTTCTGCAGGAGCACAATATAACTGAACTGTAGATCAGTGGTTCTCAACCTCCGAGCCGTGCCCACTGCCAGGCCGGGGCATCCTCTTTCCTGGGCTTCCAGCAGCTGCAGATCACTTCCCACAGTGCCTCCCAGCTCCCAGAGAGCCCACCAGCCCCCCATAGTGGCCCATATTGCCCCCAGGTATCCTGAGAGCCTTCAGCCTCCACAGTGCCTCTGGGCCTCCCACTGTGCCCCCCATCCTTTATGGATAGTGTGCAGCCCTCCATAGTACCCCCAGCCTCTAACAGTGTTTCACAGTGACCTTCAGCCTCCCACAGTGCCCCCCAGTCTGCTGTAGAGCATCTAGCCCTCCATAGTGCTCCCAGTCTCCAACAGTGTTCCACAGTGCCCCCCAGCCTGCTGCAGAGCCTCCATCCCTCCATAGTGGCCCAACCTGCAACTGTGCCCCACAGTGGCCCCCAGCCTATCAAAGAGCCTCAAGCTCTAGCTAGTGCCCACAACCTTTAATAGAGTCTGACAGTGGCCCAAATCTCCCCTTCCTCCACAGGTCTCCCAGTGTCCCCCAGCCTGCTGCAGAGCCTCTAGACCTCCATAGTACCCCCAGCCCCTAACAGTATTCCACAGTGACCTCCAGCCCCCCACAGTGTCCTCCCCTCACCTGCTGCCTCCATAGTGGCCCAACCTGCAACTGTGCCCCACAGTGCCCCCCCTGGGCCTCCTACGGTGCCCCCCCCCCCCCCCCAGCCCGCTGCAGAGTCTCCAGTCTTCCACAGTGTCTCCAACCTCCAACAGTTTCCCACAGTGCACTTCTGGACTCCCACATTGTCCCCTGGCCTGCTGCAGAACTTCAAGCCCACCATAGTGCCCCCACCCTTCTATAGTGTTCTTCAGTGCCCTCCAGCCTTCCACAGTGCCCCCCAGCCTGCTGCAGAGCCTCCATCCCTCCACTGTGGCCCAACCTCCAACTGCGCCCCACAGTGCACCCCCCCCCCCCCAGTGCCCCTCAGCTTGCTGTACACTCTCCAGCCCTCCATTGTTCCCCCAACCCCCAACAGTGCTCCCCAGCCTCCTCCAGAAACCTCTTTCCCTTTAGGGCCATCAAGGCTGCTGCAGAGTTCTCTGACCCACTCCACATCCCCACCCCCCACATCCAGCCCCATTCAGAGTATTCCAGCCTTTCGATACGTGTTTTGCATTCCCACACTTTTATTTCTGAGTATAAACTTGATTACTTTACTGTTGGGGCCAAGGAAGGTTCTAGAATCATTTACCAGCCCTGGTCTTAGTGAGGTTGATAACCCCTGCTCTAGATAAAGGTAATGAAAAGCCGGCTGTTGGGTGGGCCTGGCTGTTTAATGAATCCCTCAATATTTCAAACCAAACACAGCCATTAGAAAGGGAGTATCATGTTTTCTTCAAGCTGGTGATACTGGTTTTTCACCTGTTCGCTCTGCACAGCAATAGCAGTACTAAGTGCACCAGGCAGGGGGCAGTAGAGTGGATGAGCAGTATTTGAGTATGCCAATGTCACCTAGTGGAAACAAAAAGGAACTGCAGGCTTACAGGTCCCAGAAGTTCTCCAAATAGGGACTTCTGCAGTGATTTGTTTAGATCTTACCTCCCACATAACGCATGTGAATGGCAGCATGGAACGTGGGCTGTAACACCCACACATGGTAGTGTCTTTCTTCACATTACAGTCTCCATCTGCAACTCCCTCCTCATTGGCGGCTTTCCTTTACATAGGCGATCCTCCCTCCAGTCCATCATGAATACTGCTGCCAGACTCATCCACCTTACCAACCGTTCAGTGTCTGCTACCCCTCTCTGCCAATCCCTCCACTGACCTCCATTCAGTGTCCTCCACCCCTCTCTGCCAATCCCTCCACTGGCCTCCACTCAGTGTCCTCCACCCCTCTCTGCCAATCCCTCCAATGGCCTCCACTCAGTGTCCTCCACCCCTCTCTGCCAATCCTTCCACTGACCTCCACTCAGTGTCCTCCACCCCTCTCTGTCAATCCCTCCACTGGCCTCCACTCAGTGTCCTCCACCCCTCTCTGCCAATCCCTCCACTGGCCTCCACTCAGTGTCCTCCACCCCTATCTGCCAATCCCTCCACTCGGTGTCCTCCACCCCTCTCTGCCAATCCCTCCACTGACCTCCAACTCAGTGTCCTCCACCCCTCTCTGCCAATCCCTCCACTGACCTCCAACTCAGTGTCCTCCACCCCTCTCTGCCAATCCCTCCACTGACCTCCAACTCAGTGTCCTCCACCCCTCTCTGCCATCCACACGGTAGTCTCTTTATTTACATTAAATTCTCCATCCACATGTTTTCAAATGAAAGTCTCCAGCCACATGGGAGTCTTTTTTCACAATAAAATCTACAGCCACATAGTAGTCACTTTCTTCACATTAAAGTCTCCAGCCACATGGTACTCTCTTTCTTTCTCCACATAAAAGTCTCCATCCACATGGTAGTCCCTTTCTTCACAATACGGTCTCCAGCCACATGGCAGTTTTTTCCTCCATATTAAAGTCTCCATCCACATGGTAGTCTCTTTATTTAAATTAACGTTTCCATTCTCATGGTAGACCCTTTCTTCACAATTAAGTCTTCATCCACATGATAGTGTCTTTCTTCACATTAAAGTCTCCTAAGGACTGTGTCAGTTTCTCTGATGGACAATCTTTTAAACAGCAGTTTCTCCTTCACATTAAAGTCTGTACTTAGTCACCTCTTTGCAAGACTGTCTCTCTGCATAACAGACTTCCTCCAAGGCAATCTCTGCTGCTCAGTCTTTTTAAACAGCAGTCTCTCTTCACATCTCAGTCTTTCTGCAGAGCAGTCTGTTCACATAGTCATCACTGTCCACACAGCATTCTCTCTCCAGAGCAATCACTTTACATTACAGTCTCTCTCCATGGCAATTTCTTCATATTAAAATCTGTATCCACATGGTAGCTTCTCTGCAAGACTGTGTATCCACATGACAGTCTCCCTCCATTTCAATCTCTGCACATGGTAGCCTCGGTTCCTATAACAGTTTCTGTACAGGGCAATCTCTTTACCCAGCAGTCTCCCTTCACATGACAGTCTTTCTTCAGGACAGCCTGTCCACGTAGTCATCCCTATCCTCATGGCAATTTTTCTCTCGGGATGTTTTCATCTGGTTATCTCTGATCAGAGTGATCCCTCTTCACATGGCAGTCTCTCTGCAGAACAACCTCTTCACATGACAGTCTCTCTCCATGACAGTTGCTTCACATTAAAGTCTCAATCTACATAGAAGTCTCTCTGCAGGACTGTCCCTCCACATGACAGACAACCTCCATGGCAATCCGCAAATGGCAGTCTCTGTTCACATGACAGTTTCTCTACTGGGCAATCTCTTTAAACAGCAGTCTCTCTTCACATAGAAGTCTTTCTGCAGGTTAGTCTGTCCACATAGTCATCTCTGTCCACATAGTCATCTCTGTCCACATGACAATCTTTCTCCAGAGGATGTTTTCACCTGATTCCCTCTCCACATAGCAGTCTCTTTGCAGTACAATCTATTCACATTACAGTCTCTCACCATGATAATTTCTTCACATTAAACATCAACATAGTCACCTCTCTGCAAGACACATTACATGCACTTGGTAGTCTCTTTCTTCCATTAAATTCTCCATCCACATGGTAGTTCCTGTCTTCACATTAAAGTCTCAATCCACATAGAAGTCTCTCTGCAAGACTGTCTCTCCACATGGCAGACTCCCTCCATGGCAATCTCAGCACATGGTAGTTTTTCTGCTGGACAATCTCTTTAAACAGCAGTCTCTCTTCGGACATCAGGCTTTCTACAGGGTAGTCTGTCCACATAGCAGTCTCTCTCCATGGGATGTTTTCTCCCAATCATCTCTCAAAAGAGTAATCTCCCTCTGCACGGCAGTCTCTCTGCAAAGCAATCTATTCACATTACAGTGTCTTTCTATGAAAACTTCTTCACATTAAAATCTCTATCCACATGGTAGTCCTTCTGCAAGACTGTCTCTCCACATGACAAACCCCCTCCATGGCACATGCTAGTCCCTGTTCATGTGACAATATGTTTTCTAGGCAATCTCTTTAAACACAGCAGTCTTTCTGCAGGGCAGCTGGTCCACATAGTCATTTCCGTCTGCATGGCAGTCTCTCCCCAGGGGATGTTTTCTCCAGGTCATTTCCCAACACAGAAATCCCTCTCCACATGGCTGTCTCTCTCCAGGGGACGTTCTCTCCAGGTCATCTCCCAACATAGAAATCCCTCTCCACATGGCTGTCTCTCTCCAGGGAACGTTTCTCCAAGTCATCTCCCAACACAGAAATCCCTCTCGGCATGGCTGTCTCTCCAGGGGACGTTCTCTCCAGGTCATCTCCCAACACAGAAATCCCTCTCCAAATGGCAGTCTCTCTCCAGGGGACGTTTTCTCCAGGTCATCTCCCAAGATAGAAATCCCTCTCCACATGGCTGTCTCTCTCCAGGGGACGTTTTCTCCAGGTCATCTCCCAACATAGAAATCCCTCTACACATGGCAGTCTCTCTCCAGGGGACGTTTTCTCCAGGTCATCTCCCAACATAGAAATCCCTCTACACATGGCAGTTTCTCTGCAGGGGACATTTTCTCCAGGTCATCTCCCAACATAAAACTCTCTCCATATGGCAGTTTCTCTGCAGGGGATGTTTTGTCCAGGTCATCTCCCAACATAAAAATCCCTCTCCACATGGCAGTCTCTCTCCAGGGAATGTTTTCTCCAGGTCATCTCCCAACATAGAAATCCTTCTCCACATGGCAGTCTCTACCCAGGGGATGTTTTCTTCAGGTCATCTCCCAACACAGAAATCCCTCTCCAAATGGCAGTCTCTCTAGGGGACTTTTTCTCCAGGTCATCTCCCAACATAAAAATCCTTCTCCACATGGCAGTCTCTCTCCAGGAGACGTTTTCTCCAGGTCATCTACCAACATAGAAATCCCTCTCCACATGGCAGTCTCTCTCCAGGGGACGTTTTCTCCAGGTCATTTCCCAACACAGAAATCCCTCTCCACATGGCTGTCTCTCTCCAGGGGACGTTCTCTCCAGGTCATCTCCCAACATAGAAATCCCTCTCCACATGGCTGTCTCTCTCCAGGGAACGTTTCTCCAAGTCATCTCCCAACACAGAAATCCCTCTCCGCATGGCAGTCTCTCCAGGGGACGTTCTCTCCAGGTCATCTCCCAACACAGAAATCCCTCTCCAAATGGCAGTCTCTCTCCAGGGGACGTTTTCTCCAGGTCATCTCCCAACATAGAAATCCCTCTCCACATGGCTGTCTCTCTCCAGGGGACATTTTCTCCAGGTCATCTCCCAACATAAAAATCCCTCTTCACACGGCTGTCTCTCTCCAGGGAACGTTCTCTCCAGGTCATCTCCCAACATAGAAATTCTTCTCCACATGGCAGTCTCTCTGCAGGGTAATCTCTTCACATTACAGTTTCTTTCTATGGTAATCTCTGTGCATGGCAGTTTCTTTTCAAACAAGAGAACTGCTAGGGCACACCACTGAATCTTTGGCAATATCTTTATTACTGATCCATGGAGCTCATGCAGCAATCAGCTTAAGCAGATCAGCCTAGGGGGCCCTATTATCATCATGGCTGTGATTAAGGCTACCTAGGCTGAAATGCACATACAGATGCTTTCAATGCCAGAGTCATTTTTAGTTTCTGTTCTCATGGCAGTCTCTCCCAGGCAGTTTTTATAAACAGCAGTCTATCTTTACAAGGCAGTTTTGTTCTAGTGCCATCTCTTCACATGAAAATCTCTCCCCAGTAATGAGTTAATATTTACGATACTAACTTTACAATATTCTCAATTCTGCCAGGACTCCTTGAAGTCCCACACTACAGTCATTCCCAAAGAGGGTAAGGCTCATGACCTTGCTTGCTCACTCATTAACCCGTACACATCCCTTACTAAATGTTTAAAAAATAGTTTGATGAATATGGGGAGCTCCCCGACGTGAACATTTATAAAGTTCTAAAGTGATGGCATTACCCCTGAAAAATCTACACTCTTAAATATACCCTTGAATTCAAGTGGGCCACTTCTGCTAATACCCAAATTCTGGCCAACTTGAAGGAATTAATTTCTCTGAACTTCCCACATCTCCTCCTCAGAGTCTGTTTACTGCTTTAGAAATATGATAATGGATTATTTCCATAGTTTGGCTGATTTAACATCCTCAAGATGGTCATTCTACCAAAATTTATCTACTTATGACCAACCTTCCCCATCCAACTTCTTCCATTTTATGTAGGGTTAGCGCTTTTTTTTCAGAATTCATCTGGGCCAATAAAGGACCTAGACTGAAAACGCCACTCATCTGGTTGCCAGATACCAGCCTGCCATCTGGTTAGGTTAATAGATTGGAGTGGACATGAGGATATCAAGCAAAGGATTTCTCTTGAACAGTCCTTTTCTACCTTCCCACTGAACAGACTACCAAAGGCGTTACTTTCAAGCATCCCAAAAGTAAGATCTCATTCTACTATAGGACCCATCTTGCATGTATGTGCCCAAGCTTTCCTAAATTTTGGACTTTTCCCACACCATTCACCTATATTTCTGATGCATGGTAGTTCCAAATTTGCTCTGGGTACAATAAATGTACTTTCTGCACTTTACTTTTGAAAAAAAATTCATCAAACTTCTTATTTCACCTCTTCGGAACAATGGCCCACTGTTGCAGCCCTTACGTCCTCTGCAGGTCCCTTCCAATTAACTCTGGAGGCTCTGCAAATTTGGCATTTTCTTTTTGTCTCTATCACCTCCTTGGGTGTTTTCCCACCCCCTCACAGACTTTGAAACATTTTGCATACAGGCACCTTAAGACACTCCCTCTCCATCCTATGCATACTGTATGTCTCGCAACCAAAGGCTGGCCATGAAGTGTGGTATCTCAAGAAGTAGGGAAAAGACCTGCAACTGACTTACACACACAACCCAGGCATCAAAGGATTTTACACTTCTCACTGAAGTTCTCTATATACATCAAGTTCCAAGAGACCAATTTTAAACTCTTATCCAGAATATACAGAACTACATCAATCCTCCATTAATCCTAACCCAAGATAACTGACCTATGCTGCCATTGCAATTTTGACCTATGCTGGCCATGCAATTCTGACATAAGCTCAATTCCTTCATCTTCTGATCTTGTCCAAAACTGAGGCAATTCTGGACTAAGGTCAGAAAACTTTCTCAAAATTTACAGACTTCTTCATCTCTGGAAATCCCAACATTCTTATTACACCTTTCTTCCTCTCCAGTAAAATTATATTACCGATAAAAACATATTTTTAAAAATCCATTCTCTGGCAACTCCTGAATGTAGCTAAGTCTCGCATTCCTCTAAAATAGAGAGACCCTTTCCCTCCTGCAATACCCATATTGGCTCCATAGAGTAAATTATATCAGGTTGATGAAATATTTTGTCTTTTCTTCCCAAAATAAAAATTAAACCTACCAAAACACTTGGTTCTAT